TTGAACAGAAAAAAAATCAATGTCAAAAGTCCCCCCCCCCTCTCTGTCCTGGTCATTGTAATCTGGTTTACAAAATATGAGTTTTCCTTCCACTCCATCTCGATGATGATGACAAACGGAGAGCAATAAACAACAAACTCAGGAAACAGCCCAAACATTTATTAATAATCATGATCTTTATCGATCCTCGGGGGGGGGGGGGGGGAGGGGGGGAATTTCTTTGTCTGCCGTGCCTGCAAACTGGCCTCTCTCTTTTGCGCACCATTTTCCATCCGTAGGTTGTCCGGAGGTCATAAATGCAGTCATCGATTACGGAACGTCCCACATTTTCTGTCCACGGGGACTCTCGAGGCCTTTTGGATGAATGACGAGTCCAGATAGACTTCCACGGGGTTGGGTAAAAGAACTTTTTAGCAAGATGGGTCGGCATCCATCCGGACCCTGGCGCTTTCTGCGCAGACAAGTCCACTCAACACGCTCGCGGCCTTCGTTAGCGAAAAGAAACTCTCGTCAGCTGTGGGTTTTCTTAATGAACTCCCTCATGCCTCCATTTCTTTGACTTTCCGTGCATGTGAGAGAGTAAACAAGAAAGCCGGGTGCGGCCGGCGGGGGTCTGAGCGAACGCTCGCGTGAAAGCGGAAAATTTGGCCCGAGGCCTCGGATCGATTGGATCCTCGCCGTCCAAGTCCCGGCCGGCTTCCCTGCGGGTAGGCCGGCTGTTGCGCGAGCTCATCGCACGAAAGCCGAGAATGAGCCAGGGAAGGAGATCGAAGGCGGATGGCAAGGTGAGGCCTGGGCGGAAATCCAAAGGAGGCGGGCATTCGGAAGCAGCCCTGGAGAAGAAAGCGAGAATGATGAAGGGAACGTCACCAAATGCCGATTAGCGTCGTTTCGGCCTGTGTTGCACCTGTGCAACGAGCAAGGCGCAGAGAAACATCCTTGACGCGCCGCCCCTCTCTCGCCCCCGGTGAGCGGTAATGTCGCCGAGGTCACTCGGCGAGGGGGCGCCAAGTGAATTCAATCAGGCAAACAAAGCGAGTAGAACGGCATCGTGTCACAGATACTCGCCACCCAAACTCGCTTTCTGGAATCCCCTCACAAAAAAACGGCAGCCAAAATGTTTTGGGCCCCGAGCGCAGCAGCCTCTTCAAACTGCATCAGTTGCGTTGACTTTCAAACCCATTTTGAGAAAGCGCCTCATTGCAAGCTCACCAGATCATGCGGCTGTGTTCAATAAGGTCAAGCAAACAAAAGAAATCAGCCCTTGACCGAATGTGTCAGCCCACGCGCAGCTCCCCCCACCCCTCTGCCAAAACCCAAACTTCAAGCTCCAAATGAGAGAAGAGCAATCTTAAATCAGGGAAGCGAGAAGTTATTGGCGGAGTTCTTCAAAGTCCTGTTTAATAAAACATATTCCCTCCGCCTCGCCTGCTCGGTGAGGGGGCGATGGAGGCAGTTTGCGAGCGCCTCGACACTAACGCCGCTTGGCTGGAGGACGGGCGGCTTCTTCCTAAATCGCGTGCGACGGGAACAGGCTACAAACGGAGGTTCGGCAATTCAACTCCACTCGAGTGTATTTCTCGAGCACTTGGAAACAACCGCCGCCATGTACAAAGTGCTGAACATGGAGCAAAAATCATTCAGACAACAAACAAAACAAAAATTTCAGAACAATGACGGTAGAAAGCACAAAAACAAAACGATCAAGGCGCATGCTGAGTCAAAAGCCAAAGAATAGAAATGATGAGTGTGAAAGATGGGCAGCGAGGGGAGGGGGGGGGGGGCTCGCAAGGACCGGCAGCAGAAAATCCTCCTCCGTCCCCTCGGAGCCTCCGCGTACTTCTCGGTGCCTCTCATAGTGTCTGGTCGGCCCACCCGAGGCACCGGGCAGGTGCAAGGAGCTCCGAGAGGTCTGGTGGGGCGAGCCCATTTCAAGATTGGAAAGCAAATAAAAGTGGATCTTCGAAAGAACTCTCAAATGTATCGGGAGCCAATGAAGGGATGCCCGAGTAGGAGTTACTGTCTGCGCTCCCTCTTACGAGTACCAATCGAGAGGCGAGCAGCGGCATTCTGGACCAACTGGAGACTCCTCATGGAGGATTGTCTGACTCCAAAGTCACATGCGTTACACTCACCAGCCGAGATGTGATTACCAAGAGTCAACTTTCAATTTGGGACATTCCTGGTTTATTCCCGGTTCTGCCGATAAATTCCAGGTCATTCCCATAACTTTCTGCTCACTCTCAGGGAACCTTTCCCACTTTCAAAATTCAAAGATATTGACCACTCTACATTTGCATGCTGATTTCCTGCATGCGACGTGGAAATGACGTTCTCGATGCCGATTGGCCTGAGGAGGGACGGACTGGGCCCACGCCAACCAACCGCTCTGAAATACTGACGGAAGCTCACTGCCGGCCGGGGCATTGCCCACCACCTCTGCTAATTTCAGACTCAAGTCTTTAGATGCGTTTCTTCTTTCTGGAGCGTTGTTGTCAGGAACGATGTGTGTCAATATCGCCCCGTCGCTCTTCTGTCAGTCTCAGCGGAAACTCATTCCTCCCCGGGACTTGTCATTCTCATTTAAAGATCTGCCACTTGAAGGATGCTTAATTTTACCCCACAGTCCATCAAGTTTGTCCAACGCCCGGTAGCGATATAAATAGCGGCTGCCTCCCCTACTGTAACGCTGACGTTTTTAGTGTTTTTTTTTTTTTTTTCCACAGTTGCAGCCATGCATTGGAAAGAGTTGATAGAAAACACATGGTGGCGTGTTTGCAGCGTTGCATGAAAGGCAACTCCCAGTAGAGAAAGAGAGCAAGAGAAAAGAAATTGACGATGGCTCTCATAATAAAAGCGACTATCATGGCTCCCAAGTGTTGTGGCGGTGTGTTCCTGACAATGTGCGGGACCGGCTGCCGCCGCCGCCGCCGCCGCCGCCGTCCCTCCTTGTGTTGAAGTGATTAATCTTACCGCGGCGCATTCCCTAATCGTGCTGACTCCTCGGAAATGTGCGACGACCACACTAAAAAGATGCTTTCCTCAGCAGCGGTCGTTAATAGGGGGTGGGGGTGGGGGGGCAGAGGGCACCCAGGATGGCGGAGGCTGAGTTGGGTGGGAAAAGGAAGCAGTGTGGCAGTGTCACGGCATGCCGGCGAAATGAAATCCAAGCCGCCTGTTTGACCAGACACTTTGCAACTGGCGCCGGATGCGTTTCCAAAGGCCGGCGCTGGCAGACTTGAAAGTTGCGGCGGGGTGAGAATTGGAGGGTAGAATCGAGGGGGGGGCTACTTTTGGCTGCAATGATGAGTGCAAAACACCAGCAGGAAGCTAATCAGCCGACGAGGCGGGGAGTCATTTGACCCCAGA